CAAGATCGGATAAATCTTTAGCTTCCTTTTCTCGCCATTCATCATAACCATCTGACTTCTTCAACTTATCGATATTTATTATAAGTGACTTTTTGTGCTCCCATGCATTTTTTATCACATCCTGTATCTCTTTTTCTCTTTGATCATATGTGAATTCATCAATGTGCTTCTTGAATTTATTTAATTCAGCGTTAATATAATACCTGTAGTGTAAAACTAAGCACGTAATCTTTCATGTAACATGTTAAAGCATAATTTGTTTTAATTTTGATAGTCATATTTACCACATCTCCTGAATATCGTTCCTTAATCGCCGTCGTAGTTCCTCATATTCCAAGGAAGGAACACCATGCTTTGATCCATCTTGATGATCTATTAGGTCATAATAGACCGATGCTTTTTCGAGCCTGTCTTGTACGGAGCCTAAATGGTCCCCTTGTATAGATTTCGACCCTTCTCTGGAAATTATGTTAGCCTATACAATAAAAAGATCGCAGTACTCTATGTCTCAAATGTCGCATTTTCAGCATCGCTGAATTTTTCATATATGCAATATGTTATATACAAACGTACCCTAATATAAAGTTCTTTAACGCATCATTCTGCTTCTTTAGAATTTCAAAATCATTAACCATTTGTGCTAGGCGTTGTGTATTCTCTTTGTTGGCAGTGTCAGCATCGCGGCTTGACAATGAGTTGGATTTAAATATATGGATCATAGATATAATTAGTACTAAAAACCATGCGGCTAGCAACGCTATGCCGAGTTTTCCTAACCAGCCAGGTCGTCCAGAACAAATTGCTGCCATTTTGAACAGATTGTTTCTATCTGCGATGTGTCACATTACGAAATCTGTAAATATAATAGATAATGTCGAAGTTTATTGTACATGTGGAAGATATTTTATTTAAGTATTTAAACTTTGTATTTAAACAGGATGTTTTTTTAACAAGAAATATAATTGACAATATAACACAATACAACAGTGAATCATTACATCCTTATTGTTTGCCAATGTTAAACAGAAGTGAAACGATCATTATGTTACATCTGTTATTATAATATCATTATAATAATCTATTATTAGTAGATCTATTATTTTTCCATATTTCAGGACTAAATTTCTTGTAGTTTTTATCTTTTGTCTTTTTTTTTCTAATGTAAAAAGATAAAGAAGAAAGATGAACTGTGCAAGAAGTTCAGGACTTGGAAAAAGGACTGGCTTTGTATCACTTGTTAGAAAGCACCAACAGTCTTTACTCTAAAGCTACTTTCTTTTTAGAAGGCAGTTGACACAAACGTCATTCTATCCTTCCTGACATTCAATGAATAACAGAGGTAGAACAACACTTATGTCAACTATCTCCTAAAAGGAAAGCAGTCCAAGTAACTCCAGTGTTCTCAAATGACATATGCAACTTATAAAATCTAAACACGAATCACTTCCTGCGAAAATAAACGATTACACGAGCTTGGAGATCTCAATCACGACGTAATAAGTTTTCATTCGCACGGTGTCCCACTGAAACTATTACTATACCAAAAATCGTCGCGAGGTAGAAAAATTGATGAATAACGCGAGCTGATTTCGAGACACACAAACGAGGCAACGGAGCGGATCAGCGTTAATTACTTCCGTTACATGCAATCGCTTCGTGATCGTTCCAACCTCTGCATCACTGCCTTTCGATCTCTTCGTGTCCGGTGTGACGGGCACGCAAGCGAATAACGTAAACAGTAAAATAAATGATTGGCGACTATTATACGAAAGACACTGCGCAGAGAAAATATATACTGACATATACTAGAAGTGCATAACGCGTACCGTTGCGAGATTGGATGCGTGCAAGGTCGGAGGGTTAAGGGTTAACCAAGACGGCGAGACCGTGACGAGTCACGATCTCCGATGGTGCAGGTACGCGAGAGGGATTGAAGGATCTCACACTGATCGTTCGAAGACGCTCGGCATCGTCGCCGCGCGCGCGCCAACGTCATCCAAGTCTCCTCGAGTCTCGGGAGACTTCAAGTGGGAAACTGGGAAGTGGGATATCAATTACCGGTTTCGATCTCCGACCTCCCCGGCCTCCTCGTGCAATCCGGTCCAACCACTTTTTCGTGCTTACGTGTCGGTGTCGACCGCTCGCCGCGCGACTCACTGACTTATGAAAGACGGCACGGCGATTATCTATCATCTGTCTCGGCTACTATTGCGTGATTGTGAACGCACGAATAGAGACGTCCCGTCCGCTGTGCCACTTATTCTTGACTTGATTCCCTTCCATTGCCGCGCTACTCTGATACTTGACAAGTCGGGTTAGGGAGGGCTGGCTACAGTGCGTTCAACGCCAGGGTGATTTAATTTAGCTAAAACTCCGATTTACTTGGCAGATGATTAATTCGACAGGTGGAATTGCAACATTTCTGGCTGTACATCCCTAATTCCTAATTTAATCCTTCATTCCTGCCTTTTATATTCATGTGACTAATAAAAAATTCTGTTTTTTATTATTTACATTTAAATAAAGATCGATAATATTCGATCTACACATCCTTTAGTAGAGGTAAAGATAAATACAAAAGTTTTTTTTCTAAATTGTGAAACAATTTGCGTTAAATATGTATAATAATAGGTTTAATATTATAATTAGGTATAATAATAGTTTTTGCAATAACGTAGATCCAGATATGGTATTGCAAAAATTCTTTAATTTAAGGTGCTTCCGGGAAGACGCTATATTAGCGCTATTTGTGTTATGTCATTGTTTAGGTATAAAAACAAAAATACGAAATAATAATTACGTATATAAATAGCATTTATGCATTTATAAAGCTTATAGTGAATTTATAAAGCGGAGTCCTTACGTGAGCAACATGAGTATAATGAATAGAACGAATAGAACGAATAGAATGAATTCAGTGATCAAGTGTAGGCATTGACGCGCATTAAAGATCATTTCATATCAATATTAACACATTTTGTCATATTACCTGAGTACTTAATTCATAATGAAACATAAATTTCACGATTTATTCTTTCTTCTCTGAAAAAACTTAATATGACAAGAAGTATGAAAAATATGTTTTTAAATACATGTATATTTAATATTTATGGTATGACATATTACAATATTATACGCATTTCCACGTATGAATTATAATTACGAAATCTCTCGACAATGATCAATATTAATGTCAATACTCCAACGTTTCAATATTATTCAATGCATTTCATACAAAAAAAAATCAAATTGTAATAATTAATTTGTTATTTTGATAATCTTTTTTTGCATTGAGATATTTCGAAATTTCGTTTCCGCATTGAACAGAACCGTTGCGTGAAGTTGGCGCTAAACGTTGATGGTTTCGATATTTCGAGACTCGCAATGTCGTTTCTCGACAAACAATTATTGAGTCACGTCGGTTACGAAAAACGCATCCAAACGCACCGCAGAAGGTGGAATTCATAGTTTTATATTTAAGGCGATCTTAAGTACAGTTTTTAGAAATCACGAACCAATCAGAGAAACGTATTAACATCTTAAGACAGTCTTAAAATAAGAACTGATTATGAATACCAGCCAGAGTCGCTCCTCTACTTTTCACGCGATTGCTGCCGTCTAAAAGTGAATCTTCCCACGCGCGAAAAATTATTTCATAAAATGTCGTCTGGGAAAGTCGACTCGAGGTTTGTCGTAATAAAGCATCAAATATTGCGTTATGCGAGCGCCAGGATCGCAAATTTAGTGATTTCGCTTCGAGCGTCGATTGACAAATTTCTTTACATTTTATATCGTTTTCTTATCGAATTGCATTGTAATAGTTGGCGCACAATGTTTCATAAGTATATAAATTCATGTGTATAATATGTAATGAATTATTTATTATCGTAATATAGTAATTGATTATTTATTGTTTTATTTATTAGTACAACATAATACTTAGTAATTAATAATAACTATAATAAATAAGTAATAAACAGAATAATATAATATAATAATGATATTAACTATAAAATATTAATATAGTAATAAATAATAATAATTAGATATTTATAGTGTACATATAGTAATTTATGTATTTCTACAATGCTGCGTTTTTTTATGGATAAAAAAAAACAGGCATCTTGATGTTACGTCCTGTACACAATAAATATGTAATAAGTATTTAAGTTTTAAGAAATTGATTAATCACAGTCGAATATGAGACGAATAATCGACTATAATTGGAATTTTTTAAGACTTGTAGGTACTTTTCAAGTATTATTCTATCTTTCTTGACATTCAGTGAGTCACAAGATAGAACGATATTTGTATCGATTTGTTATCAAATGGAAAGCATCCTATATATCTATTGTGTTTCGGGACTAAGATCGGATATTTATAATCGATTCTTATTTTAAGATCGTCTTAAGATGCTAATACAGCCCTCTAATTGGCTTACGACATCTTAAGATACTTAAAGCGGTCTCAAATATATAAGAATCAACTATAAATACTAGCCTAAGATGTCATAAATCGATTGTAAAGCCATATCAGTATCTTAAAGCACTGCTTAAGATGATCTTAAAGTAAAAACCGATTACTGAATATTCGATTAACATCTGGATCATTTATATCATAGTCGAATATATGCCTGATCGACGCCGCAAGATCAACGTTCAAATTTCGCGCGCGTGCGGCCATTTTCTCCCCCCTTCCGCCAACCGGCACATAACAATAGTGACGGACGCACGACGACAGGTGGCGCCGTACGGTTCGCCTCGGTTGCGTTTCAGTAGCATAAAAATTGAATTTTCATCACGGCCACGAAGGGAAGCCAAGCACGACGCGATTTTATACGATTTATCTAGATTTATCTCGACAAGTTTGATGCATTATGTCGACGCGAATGCGAGACGTTTAATCGAGGTAAACCGAAGCGAAAGGATATCGAACGCGAAAAAAAATCTCAATTCTTCACTCTAAACTAGCGAGGGAGTAAAGAGGGACTAGGGAGGGGAAAGGCCTGTAAATCGCACGGGAGACGCGGTACATACGACTATACGAGCACGTTATTACGAGGCTAAAGCGAGACAGCATGACACATAGATAGCCGTCCGTCTTCCTTCTCCCTCACCCCTCCTCGCCAGTCCGTCGCGCCGACGCCTCCCACCACGAAAATCGCGCACGCAGCATCCTTCCTTGCGCGCGAAACACGCGTACGCCGGTGGACGCACGTCGTGTGTCTGTGGCTCGCGTGGCTGTACATACCTGTGAATAGTGTATTTTAAGCCTTAGTTTTAACGAAATGACCGTATGAAGGAAGAAGACGTGTGAGGGAGAGTCGTGAAACGGAGAGCAACGTGAGTGCAACATCGAGACAAGAGGGAAAGAGGGAGGCGCAGGCAGAGAAAGAAAGAGAGACGATTGATCGACGGCAGAACGATCCTCGTCATTGAGAAGCAACCACACGTCGAGGGCGAGGTAAACGTTCATCGGGATCCCGTGCTTGCTACGCAAATCCTCGAGAACGAGATCCTAGAGTCTCTAATTTTCTTCTCTCTCTCTCTCTCTCTCTCCCCCCTCCCTCCTCCTTCCCTCTCCCTCTCTCCCTCTTTCTTTCGCTCGCTCGCTTGTTCCGTCCATTTCCCCTGTCCTTCTCTCATGTACGATTTGCCTCCCTTTCTCTCGCTCCCTCTCTCCTTTCTCGTGCACGCAGTTCTCGCTTGTTTCATCTTTCCTTGCTTCCTCGATCTGTTCGCGAGTCGTAGTGTTGTCGTCGGTCAGTTGGTGCGTGCGTCAGAACCGTCCTCGTCGCTTCAACCAAGGATCTCGCTCGGACGTGTACGAGCGAGGGAGCAAGCGAGTACGCGGTCATCGTGCGCGCCCGCCGTTCACGACGGTTTCCTTTGTGTTTTCTCTCTCTTTCTCTCGCCCCTCTCTCTTTATCTTTCTCTCTCCCTCTCTGTCGCTCCATATCCGGCGCACACCAAGCATACACAGTATTGTCAAAAATCCGGCAGCAGCGCGCCGGAGGTGCACGCAGCTGCCATTGCTGTAACTGTCTGATTTACGCTCGCAGCTCGGTAAATACGCTCCTACGGTCTCTCTCGGGCTGATATCAGCGTGCCGCTCGTCATCATCGCCGTCATCGTCGCCGCCGCCACCGCCACCGCCGCCACCGCCGCCGCTGTCGTCGCCGCTGTCGCAACCGCAACGGCAATCTAAAGTCTCAACCGCAGCCGCCTCGTCACCGTCACCGTCGTCGCTGCCATCGTCGTCGTAATCGTCGTTGTCGCCTTCGTCATTGTCCTCACTGTCGTCCTTCTCGTCGTCGTCGTGGAAACGGTTGGTGAGGATGTGCCGCCGTTAACAACCACGCGTCTACAGAACATGTTCACGCAACGGCCGTAGCAAGCGGCAACCTCCACGGCATCTCGCCAGACGCCGCCGGCTCTCTCTGTGCGAGAGCTAACCTTTACAGAAGCCGAGGGTGCACCTTCCCCTCCAGCACGTTTGGCCGTACCGCCTTCGCCGTGCCCGGGGACAGCGGCGCGGCCTGACACCACGAGGACATGAAGTGGCTCGGCGCGAGCAGCGGAGGCGCCGGAGGCGAACCGGCATCCTCCATGCAGCTGCATCACACCTCCGCCAACGGCCACATACCCACGGTACAACCTCCGCTTATTTTCTCTTTCTCTTTCTCTCTTTTTTTTTTTTTTTTATCTTTACCATTTGTCTCCTCGCCATTCGCGATCGGCTTCCTCAATACGGAGAATACGCCGACCACGAATCGAGTGTGACTACAATTACGGCGCACGAGACGCCATAACCTCGACGATTTGCCCTGCTGAGAATATGAGCATTTGCTAATGTCAGCATGAGTGTTAAGGTGTCGATGGGAATGTTGATTCGGTCCTGTATGCTGCGCGAGAGGAATGTGCCGAGTGGCTCAAATACAAAGTGATTGTGTAAAAAAATTTTTTTCTAATATCTTCTCCGAACTAGAAATTCTAGAGGCAAAAATGGGGAAAAATTGCTGTTTGTTTCAATATATGTTTAGCTATTAATAGCTTTCAAGTTGTAAACAATTGAAAAACAGAGGAGTTAAGTTAACAAGCTAAAGATCTGTTTTTTTATTCTTGCACTAGAATGCACTAGAACTTTTTTTTTGCTTTTACCAAATGTGAAACATATATTTGTCTCACTTTAAGTTCTAAAAGTATACACTAGTTTAGCCACAGAACAGACCCTAAATCTTGATTAATCAAATTTGGCTGAATAAAGTAAAGATCCAAGTATAAAGACAATTGCAGTGACATTTGACGTGGTTTTAATTTGAATTATTTTTTAAATGTAACATTTGTTAATTAACAAGTTATATGTAAAAATATAAGAGTAATCAAAAATTTTGCTGAAACAATCACTAATATGAAGTTTAAGGTTATAATTGTATGTTATATTTTTAAATTTCATAAATGTGCCATGACATCACTGATCATTGATATGTATGTCTTATTAGGATACGGAACAGTGTGGGCAAGTTATGGCTGGTGGCGATAATATGCGAATCCAACCTGGTCAGACTCATCAAATGGGAGTCAGTAGAACTCAAGACGACGCTATGGTTGGTTATGTGTTTCAACGACCTACAGAGCCAGAATTTAACACCCAATCTTCGACTTTCCAAGCAAAGCAAGCTCCGAGAGCTTGGGCATTGGCGGATGACGTTATTGTTGATAATGTATGTATGACAAAATACACATCAGTTTAATATGATATTATGATAATTTTCATTATAATTTTAAAATCTAAATATTTGTTTGTTTCATTACATGCAGTCCTCACAGTTTGTTAAATTGCATGTAAGATCAGAACTTACAAATTGGTTTTATTATAATTACAGTTTTTATTGTGTAAAAGAATTCATGAACTCTTTGTTCAATCTTTAATTTCAAAGTTTATTTTTAAAATTATTGTTATTGTTTAAGGGTTTCTATTGTTCAACAGATAATGTGCAATATTGCGATTTATTTCCTAATTACGATCAAAATTTATGTTTTGTAGATTTTGTTTTTATCAAAGTGGAATATTTTTTCTGGACTTGGACCATCTTTATATTTACGACATTAAGAATTTTCTAAGAAATTTTTATATGAATTTGTTTAAGAATCTTTGTATATTCGAGATGTTAAGTTTGATAATATATTCCATTTTGATATAAAGTCTGTGAAACATTTTTAATGATATGCAACTTTTATATAGATATGCAACTTTTCTAAGCTATTTAGCACCCCAAATATGTATTTTATTTCATATATCTCAAATGTATATCTAAAGACAATGATATCTATGCATTTATTGTTAAATACAGTTGTAATTTGTACATATATATTGTGTTGATGCAGTAATACAGTAAATTATACAATCAAAATAATTGTTTTACAGAATCAAGAAAAATGGAAATATTCTATGACTAAGCTTAATGTACCTCAACAAAGTCAATCTCAACAACTGGGATTGACTATGAACAATGTACATTTGAGTAATGTACCTTATGAGATACATCCTATGCAATTAAAAGTAAGTAATAAATAGTAAGGATTCTATTTTATATATGATTGTAAAGTTATTCTAAATGATTATAAATATTTTTCTATACACTCATACAAATCTTTTACATTTATCTTCTAGAGTGGTGCGCCTGGTGCAGAACATTTAGTCTATCTAAATAATCAGATGACTGCTCAACAACAAGTTGCTCTCTTTCATCATCAACAGCAGCAGCAACAATTCAGGAATGGACAGGTAAGTTTTTTCATAATAATATAATATAATTTTCCAATATAATAAGAAATTGCATTGAAACCTATTGATTATTACACACAACTGCATAACGCGCAATAAAGAAAAATAGAGTAGTAACTTCTTGCTTTATGCAAAAAGTAATATATGCAACATTTAATTATAATTAAACAGAAGAATATTTAAAAAAAACTTCTATTTTTTATAATTAATGTTTAACGTAGATTATGAATAATTAACGATCCGAAATCAACATTACAATTTCGTTATGAATGATCTAACTAATATGAAATTATAACATCTTATGATTACATAAAAATCTTATACGTAATTAATCTAAATATGTTATATCTTTTGATTGAAGGAGTTCAATTCAATAATTTCATTTAATAAACGGACCTTGTACTATGGACTTAAATACTGCAGGCTTTTGCTAAAACTGTGTCAAGGTTAAAACTCTGATATAAGTCAATTTTTATTTTATTATTTTTAATGACCTTTGTTGTTTGTATTTCAAATTTGTAATGAAAATGAAAGATATGTTGAAAAATATCGCGAATAAAATTTTTTTTACTTTATTCATAGATCATAAATAATTAATATCGAGTGTAGCATAGCATTTTATTATACGTTGTTTATACGTTCACGTGTGGATTAACAAGTTTCAGTATCGAATTTCAAAATATTTATGATTATGTAGCTATTATGAGTTCTCGTCAACAAAATATAAAATTACATGATAATTTCAAATTCATTTGATTATTATATTTTAGCACAGTGATTTGCCTCTACTTACATTAACAAAATAGAATTTTAATCAGCGATTTAATTCAACGTTATTATTTATTCATGAAAAATTGGGAAAAAGGTCCAGTTGTTTAATTAACAAATTTGTCAGATGAACATATTACTCTATTTGACATCAATCGTATTCAATCAATGTTATATTTAATATTATTGACACGAATATGTTACGGGTCAATTAGGCTTACTAATAATTATCGTGTATAACCATGTTACTGCAGTATTTTTCAATAACCAAAATACTTATGAAATTTTTTAAAAATAATGCATTTCAATGATTATTAAAACATTGAAAGCAATGAGCAGTTAAAAAATATTACATTGTTATTATACATTTACCTCTGTATCGCGAAAGTGATCAAGCTTATAATGTTAAAAAATTACTTATAATCGAAATAATTATCTTCGTAATATAAAACAATATCAGATTTTGACAACAATATTGGCTCCCAATCTAAATACGTTTATGTTTCTTTTCTGTTGAATAATGCGAGGAAAGCGAATCACTTAACTTCTGAATAAATCCTCTGTCATTCCTGATATTACGTGTCTCATATTCTATTTACCATATCGAATATATTTCGCTTCGTATGAAATATAAATTTGCAGCGAGACTAACGTCATCGTATTGTATAAATGTGTGAAAAATTATACAAATATACAATTCAGAATAGGAAGTGAAGACTGCATCGATGTTTTACAGATCTCTATGATTGAATTTAATGCAGTTTAAGATAAACTATTGATGGACTTTTATAAAATTTATATTAGTAACAATTAATACTTTAATGGAATATAAAAGCGGTATTAATTGATCAATAACGTTTGACTTTTTATTTGGACGGTACATTTTTTTAAAAATGTTTTATTCGTATAAATTCGTTTAATTTTTACTTTTTTAAATTTTAATCAAAATTGAAATAATCTGCAAGTAAATTATTTGTGTGCGATAGAAATTAATTGAAGTATATTCATATGTTAATGATATATTATTGTTTATTAATAGCTATTGTACTATTTAAATATGTCACTGTATTAAATGTTCACCAACAATTTATCTTTCATCATTCTATTCCATGATTCACTGTGGAAAGTGATATAAAACAAAAGAAGGTATTGAAATTTTTAAAAGATCTTTTGAGCTACGCATTTATATCTTCTTTTACATCTCCAATCTATAAATACGCTCTCGATTTATTTATGGAAGTGCAAAAATATATGGAGCAATTCTCGTCGTTGTTCTTTTTGTCCGCTGTGTTTCTCGAATACAAAATAGACTTACAAGGTGTTGAGATAAAGAAATAAAAAAAATCAGTAAGTTTATTTTTGGATATTTTTTAAACACACAATTCTATCGTTTCTGATCGATCGCGTTTTCGATCTCGGATCTGCGATGCTGCATATGAGATGGATTATTTAAATGTTTTCGCGATTAATCGTACAGCAACGGAAAGCTCTTTCGTCTCGCGTTTCTCGTCCAAGAGGTATCCTGTATTATTTATTATTGGATTTATATCGTTGCGCGACATGCGGCAAGGAGAGCCGCGGAGGTTCCATTCGCTTCTGCGCTCGCTGGACGAGAATACGAGACGGCGGCGCGTCCGGTGGATTGGCGGAGCGACCGCCAGGGGCGCCTCGCTCGGGAGCGTCGTTCTTTGTTTCGGTTTCGGAGCGCAGTCTCCGTCCGACGAAGCGTAGAGCCCGGCTGACGAAAATTCGCGGCGCGCGGCAACGAGTGATCGGAGCGAGGACGGAACGACCGGAGCCGATCAAGAGACGCCTGTCCCCAGAGCTCGTCCCCTGGATGGACGGCGCGTCTCCGCGCGGAAAGGAATGCTCTTGAATGGGACCACATTGCCGCGATAACAATCGAATCACTCCCTCTGTAAATAAGCGGCAACGGCCGAGTATTAGTCGCGAGTGAGTGTGCAAAGTGTGCGCGAGAGAAGAAAGAAGAGGGTGAGGGAAAAACCGCGGATTAGGCGTCACGGGAGAAGAGGAAGAGGAGGAAGTGGTGGTTGGTAGTGATATCGAAAGTGTCGAAGTGACGAAGGGCGCGCGCGTATGACAGCGAAAATCTCGACGCTTTTCCGCTTTCCTTCCGTCGTTTCCCTTCTTTCGCTGTCTCTTTCTCTCTCCTCGCCGTCTAGTCGCGTCGAGAGAGGTGCGTACGCGAGGTGGTGATACTGTGACTCTCTCTCTCTCTCTCTCTCTCGGTGTCGCGCGCGCGTTTGCGCTACGATTCGCATCGTTTGACCGGCGGTGATACAACATTGCTCGCACGCGGCTCCGCTCCGGTCCGCTGTGTGATAGAGAAAGAAAAGAAGGAAGAAAAGAAAAGAAAGAAAGAGTGAAAGAGAGAAAGAAAGAATCAGCATCGACGACGATTCAACGTCGTATAGGGGCAATCGCGTGGAGGATCGAAGAGACGAGACGAAAACGCGAGACGGCGGCGCTTCGGAGGTGGGGTAGCTGTGCCGCCACCGACATATCCGTACGATTCGTTCGTCCGTGTGGTCGTCGTCGTCGATCGCCGCCGCCGCCGCCGCCGCCGCCGCCGCCGTTGGTGTTCAGCGCGCCGCGACGGGGGTTGCCGACACCGCTGCTGTCGCTGTCGTATCACCATCGATTGCCGGCCACCGATCCGCCGGGCACAACAGTAGTGCGCGTGTAGTGACAACGACGACGTGGAGTACCGGGGGGAGGTGGAGGAGGAGAAAAAAGTGCCACCGCGTGTCACCCGCGAGTTTTCCGTATTACACGTTGCCATCAGTGTATTACCACGGGGTTAACGGTGAATCTCTCGGAGGTGACGCACCGCGCCGACGACGCCGCCGCTGCCACCACCACCGCCGCCGCCGTCGTCGCCGCCGCCACCACCGCTACAGCCGCGACCTTGGAGACAGTGGAGA